GTACATTTTACTGCTGTGGTTCTTTGAACCCTTCAGAAATAATATTTTCAAGGCATTATGGAAATATCTGGGCTTCTCCTAAGAAGTTTACTAATGTATTTTGCTGCAAAAATATTGTTATTTCTTAAAGAACAGATGATTTTTCAATGGGAAATTTAATAATATAAAATATACATTTACTTTCATAGCACAGGCTTGAAGTCTGAGTACAAAATAAAGTGAGTCCATTACCTTATTCATAAGGTAGATTTTATATTGTGTGTATTGTGGTTGGAAACCTGGATAGCTTCGGAATGTTGCGCGGAGACAGAGTCTAGACATTAGTTACTTATCCAGCAAACCTATCTGGTCTGGATACAGATGAGAATCTAGAGAGAATTTTTATTTCAAAATCTTCTGAGTAGCCAAATGGATTTCACAATCTGTGCATCAAAGTTCATTGGCTTTAGTGATAGGAACCCCCCCCCCGCCACGGCCCCTGCCCAAGGAACACTCAGGATATTTTTGTTCCTATTTTACAAATAATTCTATACAGTTTGAGATTTTCTTTCAAACCACACAGATTTGAAACAGAGGTGGAGAAACTTGTTAGAAGAAATAGCAGCTGGACAATTTAACAATGGGGAGGGGGAAGTTTTCTTTTAAAAGAAAGTAAAGCTCAGTCTATGAATCTCAAAATACATCACATTCTAGAACTGTGTACAATTATAATTGTGAACCATCAAGAAATGGCTAAATCGTATTGATTTTACTCTATTTTAAAAGGTGCAGTTGCTTGTAATGTATTTTAGAATTATTTCCCTGAAGGTGGCTACAAATCAGTGAAGTTCGGGAAAAAGTTAGAAGAGTGAATTAAGTGTCATGCGGCATGAAGGAGTTCTGCATTAATAACCCTCTTGGTCAGTCTGCTTCTGAGGGGCCTGCCATTATTGGCAATGCTCCCCCTCTCGTCCCTTAGCTGGTCTGATCAGCCCTTGGAATTTGCCACTCTACTTGCTGACCTGGAAGATAGCTCCGGCGATGGCTGCAGGAAATACTGTGATAGCCAAGCCCAGCGAGCTGACCTCAGTGACTGCCTGGATGTTGTGTAAACTCCTGGATAAAGCAGGTAATTAGGTGTTGGGCTCTGGGGGGAGGCACAGAGTTGCAGCAAAGTTACATTACAGAGAAATCTTCCACTTAGCAGCAAAATTGATTCCAGTGACATCTTTGGGTTTTGTCTTCCTGATCCTTTTCTGAGAGATCCCTTTCGGCCACAGGGCTCCCTCGCCATGCTTCCTCTCTTCAGCTAGAACAGTGCTAGTGCAGGACAGTGTCACCCTGGGGGAGGGGGGTCAACTGGCAGTGGAGTTAGAGCACAATAGTGACACAGGCTTGAAGGGTCCAATCAAATCAAAGACACCAGCCTGCTCCAGACAGAATCTTCAATAGCCAATTTAAATCTTGTGTTTGAACCACAATTTAATTTTGATGACAATGAGAATATTGCCAGGTACTCCTTTAGTTTGTATAGCTATGGGGTACCTAGGAGAAATATCTCATTTTCAAGAGATTTGAATATATATCTCTCCTATTTCCCCCACTTTGGGACTACCACTCAGAAGCTGATATAAGATGGCCTCTTATCAGCGTATCAAGGTTGACATATTTGCTCCTTGTCCTCTTTCTGCCAGTAGTTTCATGGCCACGTTCAGGGTGCCATCCTAGTTTTGTTCTGGGGTGTTACCTGCGTGGGCACGGGCTGGCGCTGCACCGGTGTTGGAAGGTGACAGGCAGGAAGCCCCAGCCAGTAACCTACGAGAAGGCCCCTTAGTGTTGGGTCCCCTGGCTCATGTCCCCCCACAGCACAGGCAGGAATGACAGCTGGGTGGTGGGGATACACCTACCATCCTTCTAGCCGTGTGCTCTGCCTTTCAGCCCACAGAGAGGGTACTGCTCGCTCTCCCACGTGCACGGAATGGCTGGTGGGTACAAGTCTATCTCTCTCTCCCTCTTCTGGATACCTTTCTCTCGAAGCAAAAACAGACGCATTCGCTTCCAGTGAAGTTTAGCCAATTCTTTACTCCAGGATTGAGATGACAGTTTGAAATGGAGGCAGTTTAGGGCAGGCATCGGGCATTATGACCCTTGCGTCCTACAGAGGAATGAGGCCTCCCCGCCTAGGTCTTTGGGATGATGTCTGTGGAGACCGTGGGCCTCTGGGGGTGCATGACATAAACGTGCCCACCTCTCCCACGTCCCTCACAAAAGAGACCACATTCTAATCCCATCCTTTGTGAAATTGAGTCCCTGGTGTCTGCAAAGGCCCAAGACATTTCTTCCCTGCCTGGTGACTCCTCAGAGTGGGCTAGGATTCGGACGCACGCTCTACTTTGATCTGTTGCTGGGGAGGGGCCCTGTGGAGGTGGAGCAGAGCCACGTCCCGTAGCCACTTTCTCCTGAAACCACACACATCTTGGTCTGGGCTGAGTTCTCTTTCCTAACCCGTCTACACAGAACCCGGTCTGCATGAGAGTTTTCCGTTACCGTCAACTAATATTTGTGCAGCAGTGATCTTATTTCTTATGAACTAATAAGTCTGTTACAGCAAGGTAGGCCTTCTCTTTCCTCCTGGGCTGGTTCTGCCAAACTTTCCTCCCCTGACAGACACCGAGAGTGTAATACTCACATGGCACCTCTCTTAAGCCCTCAGTTTCCCCACTGGGATTGGGAGAAAGTGTGAACCATGTCTATGCAATCCTGCTTTAGAGCAACATGAGAGAAACTTCGAATAGTGTGAGAGAAAAAAACCCAATAAACTGCTCGTACACCCTGGATATTTAACGAGCTAGCTCCCCTAGTCCTGGGTGTTCAAACAGACTTGACAGATGACTTTCCTTGAAATAAAACCATTTTAAAAAGTACGCAGCAAATACCTCTTTGGGAGTCCTAGAACATTTATTTTCTTCTTGGGGGCACCAAATGTTTGCGCTCATTCCTGGAGTGTCCACTGACTGCGTTTTCCTGGCCCTTCCCATTAATTTTCTTTCGTGCTCTATTTAAGTTTAAAATCCTTCTCGTTGCCAGCTTGCCACACCCTGGCATTTGAGGGACTTCATTCTTGTCCTTTCTCGTCTGTTCCTCGCTTGTCTATCAGCCAACTATCCTGAGTTTTGCCAAATTGCTATTTCCCGATTAAACTGCTTTCCTTCTCTTATAACCAGAATCTCTTAAGGGTTAGGGAGCAGATATCTCTAAAAGAATTTCATTAATGTTGGGATAAAATGGTGAAATGGTCTTGAGACACAGTAGACATTAACATCGGAGCCCAAGGAAATGTAATAACATTAATGCCATTGCTTGGAAGGCACTGTCTGCTGAAATGAGCTCATTTTCCTGTGCTGATAAATATGTGGTCTGTCTATGTTTTCTCTCACCCTCTATCAAAATGCTGCTAACAATATTAGAGGTGATTGGATCCATTTTTTGCTTTCAGGATTTATAAAGGCTGACAGTCCGCCTCCTCCTGCCCACCCACCCATCCACCCCCACGCACGCCCGTGGTGGAGATGCAGGGCCATCTAGGACATGGTGGGAAACTTGTCCTTGTTGTCTTCCCATCAAGTGCTAGGGGGGCCTCTCCTCCCACACACTTCTTTGCCCCAACCCAGAGCCCAGGTGCTCTCACATGGTGCCAGGCAATTCTCTGGCAGTGACCCACAATTCAGGACCGACCGAAGCCAGATTTCAACACATGTGCACATGGGGTATGGAGGTGCAGCCATTAGTAGTGGGGCTCTGTCAGACGCTGCCATGAATTTCGGAATCTTCCCACCTGTATCCTTGAGGGCTCACCCGGATGGGGCCATTGTTGTTCCCTCAAGGTGGTTGGGCTAGGGCTGTGGCCCTGTGGGAGAGGCCTCTGGATGATAATGGATCTTCAATGTGAAATTGTTATTTATACCTTCAAAGCAGATTCTTGAAGAGATAGTTTGAATCTGGGACAGTATGTTTCTTTTTTCCTTTGACAGTATGTTTCTAATGAGGAGAGAATGTCTAAGCTGGGGCAAGGAAAGGATACTGGGACCAAGGAAGCAGCTGAAAGAGCTTACAGGCTGCACCTACTATAGTTCAAGCATGAAGAACCAGAGGGAATAAATTCAGCTACCTGCAGGCAAACCCTAAGAACTTCCTAGACACAACATGATTCTATATATGGTTTTCTTTTTGGACACGAAAGCTTCCCAAATTCATGAACCATTTCTAATTTGGATAATGTACACTAAGCACTCATTCATCTACTTAACAATTATTGATTAACCTGCAATGACCAGCTTTGCTGTTCACTGGTTGTTATTCAATCTCATCTGCCTCAAATTTCTCGCTGGTGAAATAAGGGCAATAATACTAACCTCACAGGGTTGTCGTGAGTGAATTGCTGATGGCCTGGGCCTCAGTAAGCACCGATCGGCATTCATTTACTGGCATTAGTTCTGTGCCAGACCGGGCTGTGGCACAAAGTATATGACGATGGAGAGTGTGAACCATACACCATTTCTGCCCTCAGCTGGTGTACACCTTCTAGTGGAGGCAGGCAAGAGACAAGTACATCCAGAAAACATAAATGACTGCATGCAGATATAGGGTGGCAGGGTCTTTTCATAGAAGAGATTGGGGCACCCAATTCTGGTTGTTCTTGGTACTTGCAGGTTGGCTCTAGAGTGTTAGGGTGCTGTCCGTAGTCATGAAGCACACGACCTCCAACTCAAACCCACCCTCCCTGGGGAGCTTTCCCCTGTTCCCCAGGGCCAAGATAGTCGACCTCTTCTCTGCACCTTGGCAGCAGCTACACACTCCTCTACTTCACATTTTCACGCTGCACTGTGACTCCTGGATGCCAAGCAGGAGCAGGGCACTGCTCCCCCATGGGGCTTGGCCAGCCTCTCTGTATCTCAGCCCCTAAGGCCTGGTCAATATTATGGAATGAATTACCTAGAATGTTCTACCCTGCGTCTCTGTAGGGTAAAGCACCCAGAGAAATCCCACCTACTGCGTACCATGGGCAGAGGTGACTGTAATCTTCACTTTGCTGTTAAACCAGAGGCAGCCACAAGAATACCAAGTGTTGTCAAACCCAAGTGCTTCCCCATCTCCACCTGCCCCCATTCAAGCTATTGGACTTTCAAGAGGATCTTTTCAACACACGGAGGAGAATTACTGTAACTGACACTGTTTCCTATCCAGGTGTTCCACCAGGTGTGGTCAATATTGTGTTTGGAACGGGGCCCAGGGTCGGGGAGGCCCTGGTGTCCCATCCAGAGGTGCCGCTCATCTCCTTCACGGGGAGCCAGCCCACAGCGGAGCGGATCACCCAGCTCAGTGCTCCCCACTGCAAGAAGCTCTCCCTGGAGCTGGGCGGCAAGAATCCCGCCATCATCTTTGAGGACGCCAACCTGGACGAGTGTATTCCGGCCACTGTCAGGTCCAGCTTCGCTAACCAGGTGTGTCCTCCTGGGTTTTTCCACTCTCCCATCCCGTGGCCCTGTCAAGACAGATTTGTTTCATCACAGCGCAAAGCCCAGGAGTGAGCAGGTCAATCCAGTGCCATTTCAGTGGAAGGAGGATCAGAACATTGTGTTGCTCCACTGTCTGTTCAATCTCAATGTCAATGCGTGGCCTTGTAGAGTCACCGCTTCTGTTTAGCGAGTTCCTCTTCTTGAGTGACACAACTTTTATCAGACACCAGCCATGGGCAGAATGATTTGCTGCTCCAGGCTTCTACGTTCTTTTGTGCACACAGATGCTTCTTGCTGTCCAGGTGTCCTATTTCCAGTGAAGTTTATTCTCCCTCCAAAAGCATCCGAAATGTATTCACACACTGAGTTACAAATACCTGAAACAGTCTAGAGCAGATCTCTCAGCTTGGAGTCATGAATGAGCTGCAGGTCAGCTTTGCATCTCCTGAAATTATTTAGCAGATGTTTGTCTGGGCTCCTTAATTTTTGTCAGATTCTCCAAGGCCATGGCATCTCAAAGGGTTAAGACCACTAGACCAGATCACCTAGACAGCAGGCTTCATGAAGATGGGAACAGTGCCTGCTTTTGTGCGGTATTGTTAGCATCAATGCCTAGAATACTGCCTAGGATATAGTAGATGTGCATAAACATTGAATGCTTTTTTCCGAAGGATTTTTTATTTTAGCAGAGAATAAAAACATAAGCCAACGAGTTAGAACTTCCCTAGAGGAAAAGGGGAGTAGAATGAGATATATCTGTATTTACCTAACTCAGGTAACATTGGATATTGCATAACCTTTCGATCCTGTATTTCTTCACCAGTAAAATCATGTGAGCAATAATGATGTCTCAAAACAGGGTTTTTGTGAGTGTAGAAAGAAGAATATTATTAATACTTTCATGATGATTATAATTATTTCTGTCATCATGATTCCTAAAGAAAGTGGCTAGAAATAGAGAGGGTTTCTGGATCAACAGACAATGCAATTTTATGATGCAACTAAGGTATGATGCATTTTATGATGCATTAAAGTAAGAAAATATCAAGTGAATTATTAAACCAAGTGTTTTGATGGCTTAGAGACAACAAGAGAGAGACAAATTGTGTGGACTGAGAAATTGGGATGAAAGAAAGTTAGGTAAACTCTCTGTATTAAAGTAAACAAATTCTGAGCATGGAGGTATACGCTGTAAGCCTCTTGGCTGCCAGAATTGTGCTAGCATTTGAGTTTGTCTAGAGAGCCTTACTCTTGTGGGTGTTTTAAAATGTCAATGAGAATCGGAACATGAACCTAACTAATTGGCCAATCCCAAGGTAACAGATAGATTTTAGGCAAAATAAAATAAAGCAGATTGATTTCTTTACTTAGCTGAGTGAAGAGTTCCATGTAGTGCATACTTCTTCCTTAATTGAACACAACTGGCTTTTTTAGGAAGCATCTCTGTGTGACCTTGGACATGTATTAATTCCAAACTCTATTTCCTAATTGTAAACTGGGAAAGCTGATAGACCACAGAATTACTATGAGGAAACCATCCTATAAGGTGCTTGGCATACCATAGGCACTCAACAAATGATATTATCCTTTCCTCATTTCCTCCAAAGTCATTCTCCTGGGGGACTTGGCATGCTTACCTGTGCTTTCCTGGCACCGAGTAACAGGAAACTCGGTAAAACCCTTAAGTCTCCTTCCCACTGTGACACAGGCACTTGTGCCAGATAAAACTGTCAGATGTTTGGACATTTCCCAAGCCAGATACACAGATGATTCTCATAGTGATCCTGGTTGTAGAAAGAATTTATTATTTCAAAACATTAACTATTTAATTTGGACAATGAATCTTTGTACAAATGCCAGGATAATTAGATGCATTCTATTTCCTAGGATTGTTGGGAAGACCAAATATAAGGACAATGAAATATATTTATGCATTTATGTACCTGTTATACATGGATCATGCTGCGAAATGTCTAGAATGTGGCTTGTAAACTATTACATGCTAACTTCAAATGAGAGTTAGGGTTATTTTTCACTGAGAAACCTGCTAGGCCTTCTCCCCTGAACACTCAGCATCTCTACTGGGATGTCTGTGAGGTGTCTGAAACCTAACATGTCCAAAGCAGAACTCTTGAGTGTCCTTGCTCTCCTTCCCTGCAAGCAGCGATCCTGTCCCTGCCCGGTGGCTGCCTTTCCAGGGAATAGCACCACCATCTGCTCTGTGGCTCTGGCCAGAAATCCAGGGCTCATCCTTGCTGTTGCTGTCTCTTTTCCTCATACCCTGTATCCAATCCAATGACAGGCCCTCTTAGTTCTCTCTTTAAGATACACCCTGAACCTTGTCACTTCTCTGGTTCACCTATGTCAGTTTCCTTATACTTTGGGCGTCCCATGCCCCTGTTAGAATCTGTTGGACTTGGTGGATCCCTGTCACTGCTCTCCATCTCCATTGGTGCAAGCAGGTCCAAGCTACCACCACTGATCCGGACTTCTGGAATGTTCTCTTACCTCTCCACCCTGTTCCCACTTCTGTTTCCTTCCATGTTGTTTTCTACACAGCTGTGAGAATGATCCCTTAAAAATGTAAATCCAGTCCTATCACTCTGCTGCTTAACAACTTCCATAATCTTTTTCTTTTTTTGAGACCAGGTCTTGTTCTGTTAACCAGGCTGGAGTGTGCAGTGGTGTCGTCATAGCTCACGGCAACCTTGAACTCCTGGGCTCAAGCGATCCTCCTGCCTCTACTCACTGCAGAGAGTTCCCCGCTTCCAGATCTTTGCCTGTCCAGCTGCTTCACTCAGTCAAGAGCCAATTCAAATAGCCCCTCTTTGCAGGTGCCTCCCATGACTCCATTTAGCAAAATAGCTGCCTCCCTAGCAGATTCTAGTCCCACCCTATGATTAATTTTCTTCTCTTGCTTTGATGACTACCTCAAGTTCCATTATTTATTGAGTTTGTTTACTTGTGTTTTTGTTTGTCTTGCCCACAAGATTCTACATTCCACGTGGTGGGGACTTGGTCTTATTCACCATTGTAACTCACTGCCTAGACCAGCACCTGATACATGGCTAATGCTCAAAAGTACAGAGTGATCTATCCACAGAGCAGAGTGTCCTCTAGCCTTGCCATTGTCCTCATTTTTGGCAGGGTGAAATCTGCCTCTGTACCAGCAGGATCTTTGTCCAGAAGAGCATCTACAGTGAATTTTTAAAGAGATTTGTAGAAGCTACCAGAAAGTGGAAAGTTGGCGTTCCCTCTGATCCATCGGCCAGCATGGGTGCTCTGATAAGTAAAGCACATTTGGAGAAAGTAAGTAAATTTCTGCCATGTAAGTTACAGAATAAGTCCTTATTTGAAGAGAAGATCAGTGCAAGCATAGTACATATCAGGCTTTCAAATATTGTTAATTACTACCCTAATTTTGAAAAATTATGACCTATAAGAAATTGTCTATGGACAGAGTCTAAAAATTTTGCATAGGAACATGCAAACGTAGTCCAGGTTAAAGTAGCATCCACATTAAATGACTGAACTTGAGAAGTCAGCATGGAGATACCACTGGTAGAGTGGGGAAGGCAATTTCAATACATAAATGTCAGCCATAAGAATGGTGCAGACCAAGAGTGGTGGGGAATTTCATAGGCAAACGAACATTCTCTGTAGAAAAGGCCTGCCTCTGGTTTACAGCAGATGGGATTCCAGAAATGCCAGCACAAACAATCCAAACTGTGTGGTCCTTCGTCAGTGGGGGATGAGGGCTGGCCAATCTGGAGGAAGCTGTTGATGATCTCTGAGTGATTTATGGAATTCAGATCTTTAGAGTCATTTTAATTTATTACCAGATGTGATTCCCAAAATAAGTCACAGATTTCTGGAGTTTGAAGGACCTTGTTTTCAGCTGCAGTAACCGAGGCCCATTGAGGGAAACTTGCCCCCATCAGTCAGCCAGTGAGGGACAGAGCCTTCACTTAGCTTGTAGAAATCCCTGACACTGCATAGTACGTTGGACATTCACTACATTTAATTTTGACCTTCACGACACTGCAGCACAGATGCTTGGAGATGGGAAGATGGAGTAGCTTGATGGTCTCTTCTTATTTTTTTCTCTCTTTTTTTCAGTGAAATAGGCAGCAGGGTGAGGAGGGGAGAAGGTGTCGAAGGTTACAGAAAGGAGGAGAGGTGTGAAGTAGTCTTGCAGAAGGCCAGGAGAGAAAAAAGGCTGGGGAATGACAAAGTCATCAGCAGGGCAGCTTGAAGGGCTCACTTGAGGCTTTGTGGTTGTTTATTTAAAGTGAGGCTGGCCAGCACGGCTGTATTTTTCTCCAGCTAAATTTAGCTACAAGACTGCAAATGCATAGGCAGCGGTCCTGGGATGTCCACGGGAACCCACAGGTGTGGATGGTCCTACCTTCATGGAGTGAGGGTTCACCAGTTGTGAGAGGCTCCCTTGTCCCCTCTCTTTGTCATCTGGCTCTTTTGGACACTAGGGCTACGTGCCTGCCTGCCCATGCCTGCAAATGACTGGTGAAAAACCTTAGTGTGCTCCTGACTGCTTCTGGTGAAGCAGGAAGGGGTGGGACAAAAGTTAACTTCCAGGAAGTATCTTCCAGTAGGTTCAGGCTATAGCACAGTCAGAGATGCCCTTTGCAATTCATCCACTTAAAGTTTCAAAGTTCTTTCTGTACCAACTCAGTAGATAGACTATTTTTTCTATCTTAGGCACTGCCATAATAACTGGCTTAGTTACTCAAAGAGAGGAGATATATTAGTGAAACAAATCAAAGTGTTTGACTTTCCTGTATCAACTGAATGACCTGTAGCCCCCTAAACATACACAATTTCTTTTGTGTGTGTGTGTGTAAGAGAGAAAGGCAGAGAGAGACAGAAATTGATGTCACACTTTGATTCATATTGGTAGCTGTGGCTTTTCTCTGTCATACTTTAAATATGTTTCCCTATTGAGCTACGTTAAGTTCATTACATAGCTTAATAGGGAGGCTCAATTGATAGGCTCAACAGGTTCCAATGCTGGGCTTTCAACAATATTTTTGATGCCCAGCATGTCCCTGCTTGACCTGAAACAATCCTCCCTCCTTGGCCTCCAAGAGTGCCTAGATTATAGGCATGAGCCACCATGCCCAGCCTTAGCTAAGTTACTTTTTAAATTTTGCTCTAATATCATAGTTATTTTATCACTGCTGGTGACGTATCACATTATGCATCCTCATACCCCATCTTGTTCATAGTCAAAGCCTAAGTCTTTAGAATTGCCTAGGAGACCATCTATTCTCTGTTCCCTGTTACCTCTGGGAACTTCTCCCTCATGCCACTCCTAGGTACTGGCTTCCCTGTTCTTCGAAAATTCCAGGCACATTCCTGCTTCTCAGCTTTTGCTCTTGTTGCTCATGCTGCCTGGGATGCTCTTCCTCACACGCTGGCTTGGCTCTCTCCTTCCCTCCTTGGATCAAATGTCGCCTTCTGAATGGGGGCCTTCCTGCCTAACCTAGATAAAAATGTACTTCTTAGAGCTTCCTCTACTTCTTTGGTGCTTTAATTTTCTCCATGGCTCTTAATACCATCTGACACACCATTAACGTATGACTTACTCCTTTACTGACTACCTTCCCTTGACTGGAATGCAAGCTTCACGGTCGGTTTTAGTCACTACTATATCCTTAGATTCTAGAAAAGCCCATGGAACACAGTAGGTGCATAGTATTGGTTGGGTGAGTGATTGAATTAACACCAGATCATGTGTTTCAGTTTCAGCACATTCCCCAAACCTAAAGTATTCGTTTTCCTTGAATTCATTTTGATCCTTTGCTTAAACTGCGTGGAATTGGGTACAAAATTCCCTGGTCCGGGCCATCTCTTGCTAGCACGACTCAGCATCAAGACTCTGGAAGGGAAAGCAAAATAAACACAAAAACAAAAACCCAGCCTTTTTCCAAGAAAACACTCGAATGTACATAATCATAAAGCATCTAGTGTCATTAAATCATAACAACGGCAAAGGGACTGTACAGACACATACAGGCCTTTGAGGTTTTGCTTAAAACTCCCCTTTTACTCTTTGGTGCCGGTATTGGTTATGTCAGCTCATGTCACAAGTGTCCTCAGTATTGAATTGCAGTTTCTTAAAAACCTTTGGCTAAATATGGATCTTTAATACCTCAGTATTATATAGATCCAACTTTTTAAGTGCCAATTAGGAATTTTAAAAAATGCAACCAGATTATTATCAACATTAATTTGAGATTTCTCTCACATTGCTACAAGTATGCAAGTGGAACAATTTCTGCAGGTCCATATTTTTCCAGTGTTCTTGTGTTTCTCAAGAACCAACTTATAAAAACGTACCAAAATATTTCTATTATCCCACATTTTAGTTAAAAACACTATTCATGTTGCATTTAGATGCCTCCCCAAATCTCAACTCTTCTTTTGCTTTTTGGTGATTCCTAGTAGTTTTCATTATCTATAAAATGAACACAGAGAATTTAGCAAGTTTAGGTGTCAGAATATTTCAAAATAAAATATTCACATTTTTTCCTCCAGAAAATATTTACCTTGAACATTGTGTCTGTGAGTGACTCCACAGAGAAGACCCAAATTACCTTTAGTTTAGTAGGTGGGTGGTTAGGGTCTGCCAATCTAAAAATAGAAATAGAGAGAAAGGCTCTCTAAAAAAAAGAAATGACTTTACTCAGGAACAAATGATGGGAGATTTATGAACCAGGATATACGTGGTGTGGTGTCAGGCATATCCAGGGGGGTAAAGGAAGGGAAGGATTTTTAAAGGTAAAATGAGGAAAGCAATTTATGCTATTTTGAAACAATTATCCTTGGCTATAAGGGTCAATAACAAGAGTGGCGTCAGTCCAAGGTTGAACAGGCAGCTGCTGCGTAAGCATCCTTATAGAAGTATTTTTTTGTGCAAGGTTGCGGTGGCCTTTGTGCGAAGTTGTGGTTTTGGTAGTCTCTCGTGATAGTTCTTGTTATCAGGCAAATATGTATGAGGGCCCTCTCTTCACGGCCTCCCAACTCCATTTTATTAGGGTTTGATGTAGTGACTCCATTTTGTTACAGACAGCTTCCACGGGTCCAATGACCTTGACCTCCAGCAGGGTGGGGGCTTCCTCATGGAGGTGGGTAGGGCTAGGTTTGTAATTCATTCTTATGTTCCTGGTGTTTCTCCCCAAGTGAGTCTCAGGAACTTCACTGTTGCAGACTGAGACTCCATCTGGACTCAGGCGGCAGCAGAGGTCTCACTTTGCACGTGCATGTCCCAGCAGTACGTGCACGCAGGTGGGAGGAAGTCCACACCTGGAGTTTCTGAAGATGGGCCCACCCCCGGCCTGTTTCCTTCTGCTTCAGCCCAGCTCCCTGTTTGAGTTTCTGCAAACAAGTTCTTACCTGAGTCCAAAATAAGACACACAAGGAGGGCTTGCTTTCCCTCGGGCTGGTCTCATCTTGGCCAGACCCAAGCTGCCCACGTGGGGAGCAGGGGGTACACAGCACTTTGCTGGGCTTGATCACAGTGACTCCTAGGGAAAAGATTCTCGTGTCTGAACTCTTAATATTTGTACAACTAATTTTCATCTCTTGCACCCCCTTAAAGTAATAAACTTGCCTCAACTTATGATGATGTCACCCCATCTTATATGCTATGTTTTTACCAACCCCATCTTTTCCTAAAGGAAGGGGAAATGGGAAGGCTATCATTCCTCATTATTTCTAACATCATTGCCACAGAAGCTGTGGACAAAAGCCAAGATTTCTAATAGATCTAAACCACTTATGATAGTTGATTTTTTTAAGACTTGAAACATTGGCCTACATGGTGCTGGTCTCTTCCTAACATAAGTCCAGAATTGCCATCTTCCACTAAACCAAATTATACCTGAAAATCAAGCATCTATTTAACATGCTGTTGTGTTATCTTAATAGCATTCAATTTAGTATACTTAGGTACCATGGATCACTCTGGAAATTATGAAACTTAACAGTTATTAATTTTTTCTGACCACGTTCAAAATAAGGCCATAAGCACATGTTTATCTTTTAAACAAAAGTTTTTAAAGCCCCTAGGTAGTATTTTTATTGTTGGATATTTTCTCTCTCAGTTAACTACTTTTTTAAAAAATAAACATTCCATTTTGGAATAATTCAAGATTTATAGAAAGTTTCAAAGATAAGGCAGAGAATTTCTATATCCACTCACCTGGTTTTTCCTATTGTTAGCATCTCACATTCCCTAGGTACATTTGTCCACACTAAGAAATGAACACTGGCACATTACTATTAACTAACTAAACTGCAGACTTTTCAATCAACGACTTTCGCTTTTCTACTTGATCCTTACAGAAAATAACTTTCCAGCCACTTTTCTTATTAAAAGAAAGTGCAGCCAAACAGTTTGCACTCATCTCAGAAAGCTTCAAAATTCCACCGCTTCAAAGGGGAAGACTTTGTACACAGTTAAAAAGTTATTCACAGTTAAAACTTGAAAATAGTATCAGCCAATTTTTTTTTAAGGAAAGTACAATAAAGATGGTATTTCCATTGCCCCACCACATATAAAACTGCTGGTATCATGCAGTTTGCCTTGTTTTGTTGTCCTCTCTGTTGGATTCCTCCTCCTCCTAGAGTAGAACTCCTCTCAGCTGTGCCCATGGTGCCTTCCCCACATAAGGCCTCAGGAGGATCTGGCTTCTGCTGGAAACCAGCCTGCTGAACCCATATGGCTGTGGCTGAGAGGGTCCCTGGGCATCTGCCATCTTCACTGTTCCACATGAAGCATGTGTTCCCTGATGCAAGAGTCACGCATCACCCTCTGAGTCTCTTACCAGGTGGACTCCTGATGGGGCTCTCAGCTCAGTTCTCACGAGAAAGCCCTGCCATCTCTGCTCTTTGGGAGAGAACTAATAGAAGCAACCAGAGCAGTGGAAGTATGGCCTTTGCAGATTGTGACTCTTCCCAGTTCAGTGTGCCAAACTCTCCGGGAGGGAGGAGGCAGTGATGCCCTCCACTGGTGGTCATCTTTCCTTGCCTATTCCCAGAAACTCTGGGGGCTTCGTGCCCAGGAAGGCCTGGCTGCCTCCTCTGCATCCCAGCACCCTCTGCCCCTGCAGTGTATCTCTGTCTTCTCCCAATCAAGTTGGCCACGCAGAGTCTGGGGTCTGTGTCCTTCCTATTTCTGTGTGATTGTAACAATAGATGGTGATGCGGTTGACAGCAGAATCCAGTTCAAATATGTAAAAGTTGTTTTGTAATGGCCCGGTGCTCAGAGACTTATGGGGAAACGGCATGCTCCTAAACGGAGGTCCGACGTGCCATGTTCCCAGTGACTCCACGGGGACACATACTAACCTACAGGGGATTCCGTCCTCATGGAAAGAAGGAAAGGCTCCTTTGTTCTTTCCACAGGGTTGCTTTTTGTTCCTGTTTCTACCCTCCTGAATCCTTCCCCGCTTTCCACTCTGGAGAATCTGGCTATGTGCCTGCCCAAAGATGCAGGCCACTGGAGAGAGAGGATTCTGGAGAGAATCCTCCAGAAGGAGGCTGGAGGAAGCGCAGAGGAAGATCATGGTGCATCTCCCAAAAGGGCCTAACTAAGGTCTATTCTTGCAGCTCCCTGCCCCCTTTCATCAGATAAAAAAAAAACTGACATACAGAGCAAGGGGCATCTCTGAGGTCTCTGAGCTGGTAAGTGTCAGGTCATGCATTACATCGTCACCATCATCATCATAACCATCCTCAGTGACAACAGCAGCTGACATTCAAAAAAGGCTTACCATGTGCCAGGCAGTATGTTAAATCTTTTGCATATATTATCTTATTTAATCCTCTTAAGAATACTATGAATAAGAGACTCTGTTAATTCTATTTTTCAGATGAGGAAACTGAGGCATAGAACATTTAAAAGCCCTTTGCTAGTAAATGGAGGGACTGGTTGGTATTTGAATAAAGTTTGGCCCCGAAGTCCACTCTTTCAACCTCTATGCTCTGATTTCATGTCCAAAGCTACTAAGTACTATTAGCTCCCCTCAAAAAGAGTTTTATAATAATTCCTTACATTTACAGCATATTACCAGTCACAGGTTTTTTTCTCCCCAGATTTTATTGAAAATCTCTGTTCCTGAGCTGCTAGGGTAGATATCATTCTATTATTATCCCGTCCTACTTTCTCTAGGAAATAAATTCAATTTAGTGTGACTCACCTTATATAGTAAATGTTTTGGTAAGTTCACAATTTGAAAACTGCCACTTCTCTTCATATTTTATTACCCCAAGAGCTTCTGGGAGATAAACCATGTCATCTTGTTTAGACACAATAGTGTGAAGCCAGGGCACTCTTTGCACAGTTCTGAATCATTGACAAAACTCCCAGCTATGGCCTCCTAGTGGGGTGTCTGGCAATGTTCACCTCATTTCCCCTGTTCACACAGGACACTCTCCTTTGGCATCTTTTAATTAATGTGAGTGGGCTGTTTCGAAAGAAGCAAGAGAGTAGACTTGGGAAAGGGAAGCACAGACTTATTTTGGTCTCTACCCACAAACTAGAATAGGGTAAATTCTGGGAAACCTTCGAGCTCATGGTGGGTATTGGGGGAGGAGGTTGAGTGGAAGGGAATACGAATCTGTACCAAATGTTTTACATTTTAAAGTCTTTAACTTCATGGCTTATTAATTATTTTACAAAGTGGAAGCACAGTTAATGGAATAACATTACTTTTTTTTTAACATAGCAAATAGACATATGCTCCACATTGAAATAGTTCTAGGATGGATTCCTAATCTCACACTGGGCAGAATGCTCAAATAGATAAATAGGTAGGAATCAGAAACATCATTTCAAAATTTACCCTGCCTTTAATTTCCTACTTGACTTCTATAGTTGTAATTTTTAGGACTACTTTTCTACTTTTCTTATGCTTATAATATCCCTCAGGGGTAGAACAATGAATCATTGTGACTTTAACAATATTTCCATTTATAAATATATATCTGCCTCACTATGATAATGAGTTATTTCTACAACCACTACTAATAAACATCTGTCATTATCTCTGAGTCACTGGATTAACTTATTACATAATTTATTTCCCATTATAGTTAGCTATACTATATTAACTAGATATATTTTCAGAGTATATTCAGTAATGAGACTAGAAATTAGAAATGATTTGTTCTGGAAGCTCAGCTATTGAAGAGCAACCCAGTCTTTAACTAAATCTTACACATCATTCACTTCCCCAAAAGGGAGAAAATATTCTTTTGTGTATTTAACTACAGAATGTAGCTGAGGGTGAATTCTAGCTTTACTGTTTATTAGGTGTATAAACCATTTTCACTTTCTTAGGCTTAATTATATCATCAGCAAATAGAGGATAATAACAAATAAAAATATCTAATAGAATTTTGAGAGAATCAAATGAGAATGTATGTAAAGCACTCATGTGAGTGCCTGGCACTTAGACATGAAGTAAATTTCTTCCCTCCCCTATGTTTGAGGGCTGAATGCCCAACGATGGGTGGAGCCCCTCTGCCCCCAGGCTTAGCAGCTGAGTGGTAAGATAATCAACCCTAGATTTTTTAGGAATGACCTTATCCCGGTTTGCAAGATGATTAGGAAATACTGAATTTTCTGCTGATTTGTATGAAGCCAAATGGTAAGATGTTGCTTATTACTGTTTTTACCCACCCAGGTCAGAAGTTATGTCAAGAAAGCTCTTTCCGAAGGCGCCCAAATTCAGTGTGGGGAGGGCGTGGATAAGTTGCACCTCCCCGCCAGGAATCAGGCAGGCTACTTTATGCTTCCCACGGTGATAACAGACATTAAGGATGAATCCTGCTGCATGAAGGAAGAGATATTTGGTCCAGTGACGTGTGTCACCCCCTTCGATAGTGAAGAGGAAGTGATTCAAAGAGCCAACAGCGTTAAATATGGGCTGGCAGCCACGGTGTGGTCAAGAGATGTGGGGCGTGTCCATCGTGTGGCTAAGCAGCTGCAGTCGGGCTTGGTCTGGACCAACTGCTGGCTCATCAGAGAGCTGAACCTTCCTTTCGGGGGGATGAAGAGTTCTGGGATAGGTAGAGAAGGAGCTAAAGACTCTTACGACTTCTTCACTGAAATCAAAACCATCACTGTTAAACACTGACCTTTGCCCATGGTGAAGCCCTTGTGGTCAACGCCTGGCTGCAGAGATTGGTTGCCCAGTGTGGTGAACTGAAATATTGGCATGAATTCCAGCCATGTTGTGACTTCGCAGAAGCTTATCTCTGGCCTATCCTTATAGTTAGTAATTTTACTCGCTGGTGAAGAGGTGCTGTCTATGTTCAATATGGACTCAGAGAAGAAAAGACTTCTGAGTAGGAAGGCACAACAAGAAAGCCAAATAATGGCTAACTTCCTCCCAAGTATGTCTTTGTAATATTTTTTTCCATCATCTTGATTGAATTCTTGGAAACTGCCAGATAATCAGATATTTTCATCTGCAAGTATATGGTAAAAAAAAAAAAGAATCCACAAAGCCAAAGAGAAATGAATAACCATTATTTCTTAGCTTTGGGGAGATTGTGGAGATGTCTCCTCATCCATTAAGCACTAGCATGGCCAACTGATAATTGATTGGACCTTATTATGTAAGGGGACAGCGGATGTCCTTGAAATTTGTTAGGGGAGACCTATATGGTAGGCCCTGCTAAATACATCTGTACAAGGACAAAGAAAATAACTACCACTTTTAAAGAAAACTTGGAAGAAGAAGAGAAAATAGTTTGATCCATTCCTACTGTCAAGTCTGATCAATTCCAGTTCTTTATGTCTGCATTTAATGATGCTTACAACTTACTAATCCTGAAAGAAGTAATAAATGTTAAGCTAATTTAGTAACTACTGTGGCATATACCTTCTTCTTGAATTGTCCTTTATTCTTCCTTATCCCCATCCTCTTAGGAATATGGATTTTTCACTAAGTAACAAAGGTATTTCTAGCACTTTTTTTTTCTGGATTCTTCCAGGGATCAGAGGAGAAAACTGGGGTTTTCAGAGGTTAAGTAACACACACAAGGTCACAAAATGGCCTGGGGCAGAGGTAGGATTTGAACCTAGGGCTCCCAGACTTCAAAACCCACCATCTCTGACCGCCTCACACTTGCTGTGGATCATGCCCCAGAGGCAGTGAAGTACTTGTGGCTTCTGGCACATGTCCTGGCCGGTGCCTCTCTTCCAAGTCTCCCTCCCACTTAACCTCGTCCTTCCTCTCTGCTACCCAGCTCCACTCAGTATGGGACAGAGGCTGCCCGCATGGCATGCAGCCCAGCACTACCTCCAGAGCAGCCCTTCCTGCACTGACGAAGCCATCCGATTGCAGGTTTGATTCCCCCACTGGACAGGAATGTCGAAGGCCAGGGCTGGTGTTATCCCTCTGAAAAGTCTCAATTCATAGCACAGTGCCTGGCACACAGAAAGTGCCCAAAACAAGTTCCAGGAATGGAACAAGGTCTTCCTGTGCTCGGGGGTATTTGTCCCATGGTTTGTGCCTGTGTAGTGGGGAGAGGCGGTAGAAGTGGTAGGGGGAAAACTAAGCTTTATAATTTTGCTTAGGATTTCAGGTATATTGGCTTGTTCATAAATGCTGAGAAATAAAAGCCG